AGATTTTCTGCAAGAAATGCCTCCATTTTTGTGCAAAACTAAGATAAAATGAATGTTCCTGAAGTTGAGGCTTTTATAGAGGGAAAAACACTATTCATGGGGACACGTGTCAAAATTTGGGTGGCTGCAGGAACAAGTGGCCGGCCAGCCACCTTTTCTGGCTGGCCGGCCATTCTCTTTTTCAAAACTGGCCGGCCGGCTCCCCTCTCTCCATAAAATTGGCCGGCCGGCTCCCAAAGATGGCCGGCAATGCTCCAGTGTATCTCCTTGGCCCTGTTTTACCCTTCGAGGGAAAGTTTCAAACATTTCCATGCAACGGGAGAGCCAAAGGCCTTCATTTCCCTCTGTTTCGGATGCGTTCCGGTGCCCAGGTCGCCCGAAGTACACTCTGTTGTTGTTGTTTTGATTATCGAGTTGTTGTTTTGCTTATCGAGTTGTTTGTCGAGCGGACGTGTTTCACGTTTTTGAGTCATTGCTCTCTGTTTAAGCAATCTTTGTTTAAAGTCTTGTTTATTTTGCGTTGTCAACGTTATTGCATTTTGTTTATCGAGTTGTAAACTTGCTAAAGGTTCTGTTATGTCTTAGTAAGTTGAGTTGCTTAGTTTGTTACGTCGGTTCACTACCTGACCTGGTGATGACACAATGCACGTTCCCATTCAATTTCATTTTGTGCAAAATAAAATGATGCGATACGATGCTAAAAGTTTGAAACATAAACACCTTTTCGAAAGCTGTTTCATTCCATCATGTTTTACAACAAACAAAGGTACAAGTTTTACAGAAAATAAAACTGCCTAACAATGTGCAAAGTGCTACAAACTACTAGCAAAAAGAAAAATAAAGCAGGAAACAGCAGCATCAATGTCCCCGGGAGCGGGAATGAGAAGCACTCCTCATCCTCTTTTGCGGGACAGCCTCTGCAGCATCATCATCGTCTGGGTCAGAGCTATCATCCTCAGGATCCCCCTCAGCCTTGTCCCAACTCCCCGAACCAAGACCGGAGCCCCCCTCCTCAGCAGATGTCTCTGACTGACGATCGGTAGCCTCCTCCTCCTCCTCATCATCCTCCTCCTCCTCCTCCTCATCAGGCTCTGCCTCTACAACATGTGTCCTGCGCCTGCGGGAGGACCCTCCTCGTGCTCCTCGGAAAGGCCTGGATGGCCCAACTCCTCGGAAAGGCCTGGATGGCCCAGCTCCCTGAGAAGGCCCAGATGGCCCAACTCCGTGAAATGGCCCAGGTGGCCCAGCTCCCCAAGGAGGCCCAGGTGGCCTGGTCTGTGGCTGACCGGACCATGAAGGCATCTGAAAATAAAGAGTTCAATTCAAATACATCAGTCCAAATATATACATCAGATGCAGATACAAGCAAAGACTACGTGAAGTGGGTGCATGTAAATACAGTGTACAAGTGGGGTGTGTGTCAGATGTGCTCTACACAAGTAGCCTATCGATGCAGTAGAAATCAGCATGTCATCAGAAGTATGATAAATGCCAGAAAATTGAAGGGTACCTGAATGCCCGCGATAGACAACTGTGCCTCCCTCCGCAGGACCATGCCCTCGAGTGTGGCCACCAGTCCAACCACCTCCTCCATGTACCCTCGCGGTGGCTGCAAATATGGGCTCATAATCATCAGTGAATGAAAGAATGTCTAAATGTCTGAATGATGAATGAAAAACAATGGAGCATACCAGCGGTGAGTTAGGATCAATGGCGTATCGATCACTGGGCATCGGAGGCTCTAGCGGGATCGGAGTCGGAGAGATAGCCCCATACTGCCACGCCATCAACTCAGTTGGCATATCTGGCCATCCAGGATGAGGATAAGTCGGAGTAATCGGAGGAACCGATCTACCCCCACCTTTCGATGTACCAGCCCTACTAGTAGAAGGGACGTCTGCAGCCCGAGCCCGGGCTTGGCCCGAGGATGACATATCAGCAGGCCTCGTCATCGGGGTGCGAGCTCCCGTCAATGGAGGCATCAAATATGTATGACGGTAAGTGCCGTAATCACCCTCCTCGAGATGTAGTAAAGCATCGCTACCCAGCATAGCGAAGACTACCTCCGAGAAAGAGAGCCTGTCAGCAGTCCGCATACTGACTGGGGGTACTGAGGGAGGATCCTGAGAAAGATACCCCCATACCTAACGCAGAAAGCGTTCCCCCAGAAACCATGCCCTGCCAACCGGCCCTTCAAGCAGGACCCTATACTGGGAAGTGCCCGATCCTCCGGGATACTGAAATCGGAGACCATCGCCCAAGGGTGCCCAAGGCTGCCATGTAATCTGCGGATAACAAGTGAATAAACCAATCAAA